GGGGGGGGGGGGGGGAGGAAATGGAGGGGGGAGAAATTATAGAGGGGTGCTCGGATGGAGATAAATTTGAAGAAAAAAAAAAATTATTTTCCGAATCTCGGGGTATCGAGATAAAGTATATGAAAGAGGGCACGGCGCGAGGTGCGGAAGGGGGGTTGGTCGAAGCGCGGAATAAAATAATCATTATTGCAAGCTGCAAGGGTGGCCAACCCTCCGGCGCCGTGGGTGGCCCGTTTCACCCCCGGTGTACCACGTCCGCCCCCTTTACGTACGTGCATCACAAATACTCTCGCAGACGTCCTATCCTCTTTCCTACCCTCGGCGTTACACGGGTCCGACAAGCGTACTACATAACCTCACCCTGTAGCGTGGTACCACTAAATCACTGCTAAGGGCTGCTAAATAGCAGCACACTTTCTTCCTCTTCTCTCGATCTCTCTCTCTCCCACTCGTACTCCCATACCGAGTGTCCCGAGGCGTGTCCGCGTCTGTGTGGTCAGAAGCCGTGGGGGATGATATTCTCTTCCGCCCTTCGAGAAAATACATGAGAATCGGAGAACTCCATCGGACCGTTCAAATTGACTATGCATGCCTGACGTTCGACCAGTTGGCGCAAACTGGTAATATCCCGTGACCCCTTCGGGCATAACTGCCCCCTGACACCGCATTTTACCCAGTATACAGCTACCGTTTCGTATTACGTTAAAATGCACTTGCAGGGTGTATCGCGAGACTTATAAATTGCTGTTGTATTTTCACATTTAAATTATTTACATATCACGTTGACATACAAGGTTGGTTAAGGGTTGAAAAAAAAAAATTTTTTTTTTTTTGAACCCAACTATTTTTATCTTATCTCAATTGGTATAATTTTCTCGTATGCGTGTCCGACGAAGTACGTAGGAATAGTGAGCTGTCACGTGATTAATATGTCGTTCGTATCCCAGGAGGAACGGTAAAAAAAATCATTAGAGAAGGGGGGGGGGTAGGGCAGGGTATATCGGTAATATCGTACGTCCCTGCGGCAACGTCCTCCGCAAGAGGATCGAACAGATGCGTGACACTGGGGAATTATTCCAGATGCGTGGTAATTTACAATTATCACGGCGGCGCGGTTTCCCATGAAGAGGATTACAGGGATAAGCGCGAGCCGCAAGGACGATCGAGAGTTTCCCGATTTCTGTGGAACCTGATACCCATGCGAAGGGTCGTGAAATCAAGATATATGGTAGAGAAGGGTGGCTAACGTGTCGGTCGGCCCGGCTGTCCGTCGCCCTATCCGTTTTGCCATCCCCATCCGCCCGTTCGATCCGAACTACCCTCGCCTCCACCATCGGCATTGCCCACCGTAGCATCCTGCCCGATCGCACCCCCACCCCCCCAACGCCCCGTTTTCCCACCTTGAGTGGCCCCGCTGGTCTTGCCGGGCTAATAAATATCGTCAGTGTACAGTCTCTCGTTTTCGGTCTTGATACCGCGGAAAAAGGGTGTCCTCCCCTTGGCACGTGCTTCCCACCCCTAAGCATCGCCCGTAAGGGATGACACCGTTTTTATTGCCAGCGATACACTCGCTTTCTGATTACGGTCAATCGGGTATTCCCCGGACCCGAGTCCACCCCAGTGCGGGATTCCCCGCTACAAATTTGTCCTTTGCGACCCCCCCCGATGACTCTGGGCAAATTGACAAATCATTCGATTACAGGAGGAAAGGGATGTAAATCGGTATTCGGTTATTATAAAATTTATATGAGACGCCGTCTAGTTTCTAAGGAAGGAATAGAACCGCGGTAGACGTATAGAAGTTCAGTGAT